TCTGAACCATGGACACAGTGTCCACTGGGAAGCTGGAAACAGGGAGGACATCTCCCCCTCACTGCGGAAATCCCACTGATGCATCACTGGCTACTTCCTCACCATGATCACCAAGGACCGAGCTTTGACGCTGTTTCTTTACAACAGTCTGTCCGCACGTACGATGTCAAGGCCCAACGCATGCAACAGTGGGTGGCAGCACGCATTGCGGAGAAAGCTGACCTTAACCCGGAGGGCTGGAATGACATTCTTTGTCAGGCTGCCTCCACTTTCTTCCCCAGAGCACGTAAAAGCATTCAGGATCCCACGGAAGGAGCTGCTCGCCGCATGTGGAGAGCTCGTTCAACACAGCTCTCTACCAGGACTGAACCCATGGCAGAGGCAGCACAGCTGGATTCGGAAGTCGGGGCCCAGCCCGAAGCCAGTGTGCTTGAAGACAATGCAACAGGTACAGCAGCACAGCTGCCACTGATTCCTGAGGCACTGCCTGGAGGGGCTGAAGATGCGGTAGGAGCACACCCAGACATCCAAACCCTGCAGAGCATCCGGCAAGAGCTCGCCTCTCTGCCTAAACACCAGGTCGGCACTTTGGCAACACAGACTCGATCGCACATCCTGTTGCACAGATGCTTGGTATGCAATTTCTGGACTCCAGACCACACTAAGGTGAAGTCCCACTATCGGCAGGCGCATCCGAGTGACTACGCACGGCTGCATAAAGACACCGTCCGTTTATGCCAGGGCTATTCTATACAGCTCACCAAGGGCCATGCCTGTCCTTTCTGTAGACTCAAAGTCCATAGTAAGTCACTTCATCCTGAACAGTGTGCCGTCCTGTACCAGACCCTGTTGCAGTGGCTGCGCACGCACCTACCGGAGGCTAACCCGACTCTATGTCCTGTCCCACCTGGGGCACCAAGCAAGACTCTCAAAGCTTTTTTCGGAAAGTGCACAGCACAGTCATCTCCAAGCGACACGGTTCCTGCGAGAGGGTCTGGGGACACAGTCCGACCGGCTCAGCAAGCAGCAAAAACCAGACTCCTCCAGCGCCCTTACGCCAATGCTACTCTGCAGGCTTTGGTAGCTGTCCATAGCGCAGGATACGACCTGGGAACCTGGCAGTCGGTAGTTGACCTGCTAAAGCAGCCCAGCCCCAAGCCTGTGAGAAATTTTGGTCTGTTTGAATTTCGCCATCTGCTATCGGGCTGGAGACTGGACGGCCGACAGCACGATGCAGCTGAATTTTTGCTGCATCTCGCGAACTGACGGCATCGCAGAGCCTTCGGACATGGGGGTCTCTCCTCTTCTGCTTCCGTTGCCTTCAGCCTCATTTCCTGTTCAACAGGCGCTACGCTTATGGTATGACAATACCTTTCAGAGAGCCCTCTGCTGGGCACCTGAATTGCTGGTAGTCACTCTATGCAGATGGCAGGACGGTCTCAAAAACTGCAATACTTGTGACTGGCACCAGACAGTAATGATCCCAGTATGGACGGGACCGCAGTCTCGCACTTTTCACAGACACGAGGTCCTAGCGGGTGTCTATCACTTAGGAGCTGAACTCTCATCAGGTCACTATCGTGCTTTCTGGCCTTCTCGAAGCCCAGAGCCGAGCCTCGAAGAGCCAAGACAAGCAGCTGCAGCTGCCGCTGAGGTTTGGACCATCGACGACTACTGCCTACCGATGCAGGCCTCGGCAGCTGACAAAACTAGAATCGCGACAGGCACATACATGCTGTTTTTGAAACGATCCACTCATGCTCTGTAACTAGACTAGGGCCACAGCGGCAAGTGCTGGCCCTAAGGGCTCTGACTCTTAGGGTGCCCGTGCGTGGGAAGCCGGCTGTCAATCTTGAGTTGACGCATGGCCGCCCCACGTCAAGGCCAAGCGTGTCATGCGCACGCGCAGGTTTGCCGCGCTGACATTCTTGTATCACTCTTCCGCAGATTTAGTTCGAGACGCAGGGGCACAGCCTTCTAGCATCAGCTTGGGCACAGCCTGTCATTGACCTTCGTCCTGCCATGTCCTCCCCTTCCAAAGTCGTCAGCCCG